TTTTGCTCGGCCATCTTGTCTGTGTGATTGGGAATTTTCTTCAAACAAAAACAAATTTCTTCAAACAAAAACGACAATTATCTTATGTATTAAGTGTTAAATTAAACAGTCTATGTCACTCTGTAGTTTTTTTCTTAAAGAGTGACGTAACCTATTCATAACAAACTTTGGCGGTTATTATGTTATCAGGATATAAATAGGAAAAAGTAAATTAAGGGTTTATCGATACTTAAATTATTAAGGCAAGTTTTGTTTTCGTAGCATTAAAGCCACATGAAATCTATGATTATCCCAATTGCACTTTTAATTTAAATTTATCTTTTAATTCATTAAGCATACATAAAGCATTCGGGATTAATTTAATTTAAATATCAAATGTTCAGAGCCGTTATAAGCAGCGGAGGAAGATTATTATTTTTATGCTGAATAATTAATTAGTGAACTTATGTTCGGACTCATCTCAGAAGTGGGTTGGATCCTCTTTTAATTACTTTAATAATTTATTGGTTGATTTAAGGTATTCTTTTAATACTTATATAATTTTACTTTTCTATTCTTATTGATTTCCTTGTTTTATTTTCTTAAATGATCAACTCTTGTACATAATCATATGATCGCTTATATTTATGTAATCTGATAAGTTAAAAATTAAAACGAATAGTTTCTAGCATACAGGTCTATGAGTATTTGTTTAAAAAGAAGTATTTTTTAAGGAGCCTTTTTATTTTATGTTTGGCTTTTTATGGGTGAAAAGTTATTCGTCCGATGGCTTTGAGATAATTAAGACAAAATTTACATTAGGAGTTTCTTCTAATATGTAGTTATGATGATTGTAATAGTACAATACATCAATATCAACTAATTCGTCAATCAGTGAAAGAGCTCTTTGCTTTTTTCCGCGACGGCCAGGACCTCAGTATTTTGTAAAAGTTAAAAGTTTAGTGTTTAAGTAGGTCTGGTAGAGGTAGCAACCCTCATAAGTGTCCAGCGATGGATGATGAGATTTCTGAAGTTATCCCGAAGAAAATATAAAAAAAATAAGCTTCATACTTTCATGATAGTAAGGTTCCGTTTTAAAATTATTACTAATTACCTACTCAAGTAATGACAACCCAAACTCAATAGTTGCCAATCGTTTATAGCGAACATGTATACAGAATCTTTCAACTTTCATAAAATACTGAGAGTTTAGACGTCATTGGCTTTGGCTGTATGAGCTAGTTAGTCTATAAGAAATTTTGAATATTTTGTATATCAAAATAAATTATTATTGATAAAAGTATTTTTTAATTTACTATCTTTAATTTAGCTGTTTTTCTTACATTCTTTTTTTTTATTGGCATTAAAAATCCATTCGTCTTAAAAAACTAAGATAAATATCACTTCAAAAAATAATGCTTATCATTTATTTATATATTTTCTTGGCACTCACCACACTGACCTTATAAAGAATTGACTAACGGTGAGTTTTTGGCCCGGTAGCTCCCGTGACCCGAAGTAATTGAATTTAGAGAGGTCTAGTTTTATTTGCCCTAACACTTCAGATAGGAATCCAAATTCTACGTAAGGAAGAAACCTTTGCAAATATATGCATTCTTATTTTATTTTGGTAAAATATACATATGGTTGTAGTTCGTTTTTACCGTTAGTGGTAAGTTTATTTTTTTAAATAGGTAATATATTTCTTATTAAAATTTAAAAAAATATAAACAATTAATTGTTCAGCGAAGTTAAACTATATTTATGTTGGTGTTAATTTTGGGTTGATAAATTTTCAATAACTAAATACAAATTTATGAAATATTCTTAATAACTACATGTTATAATGACCAAAAATACAAGGGCAATAGCTATCAGAGACGTAAAAACCTGTTCACTGCCGAGCTTTTGAGGTATTTTGTATTGCTTGTAAAGTGGTAATTCTCTTGAGCGCAGTGAGTTGAATTGATCATGATATCTTTGTATTTAATACGCCTTTTTTTTTTTTTTTTTTTTTTTTTTTTTTTTTTTTTTTTTTTTTTTTTTGTTGACGTAGTGGAAACTCTTTTTACGAGCCGTCCAGCCGGCCTTGGTGGGGCCGGAAGGGATGTGTGAGGCTCGGCCTGGGCAGGCCCCTACTCACTAAAACCACTGCGAAAGCCATCGGCCGCTATGTCGGTGTACCCCGGATCTGTCAGCGACAGGGCACACCAGCGACTGGCCGGTCCTGGCAAAGACCGGACTTACTCCCTCGGAGAATGGGGGCGATCCCGGCAATTAGGACCACCCCGACGACGCCGGGCTTTCAAAAGGGCCGGGTTACCACGCCGACCCCAGCCCGGAACACAGGGGTGCTATTGGAGGCGTAGGAATTGCCTCCGTCGCACCCCCGTACGTCGCCTGCGGGGGGAGGGAGCATCAGCCGCCCTCTCCCTTTCCCGCTGAGATGCCTCCTTCGTGGACATGACCGTCTCACAGAAGGAGGACACCGCCAACCAGGACCCATCACTCTCGAGCATCTTCTCCACGACACTCGAAAGCGACAGGTCCACTCCGCCGAGAGCCGCCACAAGGTCTTGGCGCTGCGCAGCCCATCTCGGGCACACCTCGAGGGTGTGCTGGGCCGAGTCCTGTATTTAATACGCCTAACCGTAATGTATTATTTATCTATTATTACAAAACAATGTGTTTGAAATGTTTAATAACGTAAATTTAACATTTCAAACTCTGTAACATCTCTAAGCCGTTGTAATTCCAAGCCAAAACTAGAGCCCCTTAGGAACGAAGCTTCTATCTTCTTAGCCACAGCTGTATAGACGTATAAGTCGAGAGCTCTTCCAATACCGAAATCAGAATGGCATAGCGAATACTTAAACTTAGGGAGAATAGGTACTACAATATTGTACTCAAGACCTCGGGTTCTTATTTATTGTTATATAACTAAGAATTTTTAATAACTTGTTTATAAGTATATAATTTTTCGTTTAGACACTAGAACCTTCTTTGCTAATTAGAAAGTCTCTTTACTTTCTTTCAGGTCTAGAATATATTGAATCATTTACTTATATATTTAGAACAAAGTTATGCAGTTGATTTGTTAATATATTATATATCTAATTAATTTAACAACAGCTATTGTTATTTTAATATTGCTTCTAAATATTTTAAACCTTATAGGCATAATTGAAATATGTTTTATACTTTACTGCGTGTTCAGTTTAAGCACCTGGTCAAAGCATTGTAAACAAAATAGCCGCGTCATACCTCCTAACCACTTATGCAGAGCCATGGTCGTTCTAATTACATTGAAGCCAACGTAAAAGCCTTTAGCTTCGCTCACGGCAAGCTACTTTACCGTAGCCTTTCAAAACTTTACATAAACTATAAACAGATTTTGAACACTGGATAATACAATCTTATAGGTATTGTAAGAAGAATAGCTTCATATTTCTTTTTTCTTCATATCATGTTTACAAGGCTAATACGGGTATAATGTTATTATATTGTACTGATCTCTCGAGTCATTTGTGAAGTCATCTTGTATATTATTTTATTTTTGTCTACAAATACCTATTTTGTAATAACGGACTTACAAATAAAACACTCTTGTAGCTTTATTTTCGTCTATCTGTACGTATATTTATTAGGTTCTGTGATAAAAAAAATTATATTATATATTTACCGTATTTGTCTTAATAAAAATCTTTTACTATGTATTTACAATATATTGTCTACCATTAACTGAAAATATTTCAGTCTTCATCTATGCATTTGTGTATTAAACTAATTTCTACTTGAACTCATCTATTTCTATTTCTTTATTTTTATTTATTTATTAAATTATTCCTTCTGATTTTTGAATGAATTTTAATTATATGGGATTATACATATAAAAATGAATCCCTATATCCTTTGGTCACGCCGTCACACATCTGGTGGACCGATTTCACTATTATTTCTTTTGTTGTGTTTGTTTTTCTTCTTACGACGGAAAAAAATAAAAAATACTCCAAAAAAAATTTAAAACTTAACAATTACCATTAATCCAAACGTTTTTAATATACTTTTTGCTGAAAATATTTAAAATAGGTGACTGTCAGTTATTTGAAAGTTGTTCAGATAGATCGGACACTTTCAATATCGTTTATGAAAACCTCAAAATTCTTAAGTGACGTTGTGTTATTTTTAGCTTTAATTAGAAATTAGTCAGAAATAAGGACGTTATTATAAACATCTACGGTTTTCAATAAGAACAATATTTCACACTCAACTCCTTGGTCGGAATGATATCTTTAATATTACAGGGCAAAGTCTGCAAAGTAAACTCGTATGCTAATATATATTCTTTATTTTAACAATTAAAATTTTTATTCAAAAATATGTACATATTAAAGTACATATATGGATCGTTGCACTGTATACTACATAATGTATACTACATAAACTCAACAACTCAACTCAACTCAAAAGTCAATATGGTTGATGTTTAGACTCATTAGGAATCTATCGAATTGAGGAGTAAATTCTGTGCTTAGGGATCTCATTATAAATTTAAACATAGACGTCACCATTTTCTGCGCTAATAAACATTTGCTAGAACGATTAATTACTCACTTAGATTTATAAATGAGAATCTTAAACACTGTCAGTACTCTGATAATTAATGGATTACTTCTTGTGGTACCTTTTGATATCTTTTTTATAAAAAAGCCATGAATTTTTTAGTAATTTTATATATGTATTTTAATTTGGTTTTGCTTACCTCTCACTCACATTTAAATTTTTAATCTATTGTCATCATGTGTTAAAATATAATGGATGTGTTATTAGGTTGTTACAGAGACCTATCAAAACTATCTATTAGACATTTTGAGCGAAATTTATTGCTTAGGTTGACTAGTTTTACCTAAAATATGGCCGAATTTCTAAAATCATTAAAGTGAAGCCGCTTGCAAAATCTATTGAGGTACCTAATAAAGGTAAGCTATTTGCTTTAGTATAACAAAAAGGATGACACTTACCGAAATAAACACTTCTTCAGCTTGTTGTAATATAGCTATACGTGACCAGCCGAATTTCTGCATTAGCTTGATTCTGGTTGGATTGTGTACAGTCGCCGATGGATGAGTCCGAAACAGTGTAGGGAATCTTGCCCGATCTGATAATGCCGGTGACGACGCTCCATAGCATAGCTGTATAACACAACACATTATTATGGAAAGTTTTTGTCAAATAAAAAAGAAATTCTATACTCATGCAAAGACTCTCTAAGAAATAAGTACACCTTTCTTTGAAAGGTTCTTATACATACATTAAAAGAATTCGGAAATTTTAAATGAAAGTTTAATAAATTTTGATATTCCTTTTGTTGATAATTTTGAAATACAATTTCTAATTATTAATATTTTTATCCTACTATATCACAAGTAGCAGTGGCGGCTGGTGGGTTATCGAACTGGTGGTTCACTTTACTAAAATATTGACAAAAACAACAATTGACATAAAATATGTTTATTTTTTGTACATTAATTCATAACTATATCCAACTCTGATACAAAGTCTATTAATCCACGAAACACTCCAGCATTACTGGACTCAATAGTTTCATCGTGACCTCGCAAAGCTAACTCAAATGCACCACAAAACTTGACACAATCGATAAGACGTGATAAAATGTATCTGTTTTTATCAACTTGTTTATTATACTTTTGGATATTACTTCTATACACAGAATCTAGCTGATTACGAATATCGACTGTGACTAACACAGACAAACTCATTACATTTTGTAGGTGTACTTGTGAAGAATCGTGTTTTTTTATTTTTTCACTTAAATGCGTCAAATCCTTGATTCCAGTTTCTGTCCAAATCGATTCTCCGCCAAAAATAATGCAAGGAAAACAAAAGAATGCCTTAAGACGCTCACATCCACACAACCATTTCTTTCTATTATACATTTCACTTTTAAAACTTCGTATAAATGCTTTATTTTTCGATTTACACTCTTGTTTTAAATTTAAAAAGGGCCGTGGCGGCCCGGCCAATTTTATGTTCACTTTACTTTGAAAAATTTTGTTATTTTCTTTAATATAATCAATATTTATACTCATTTTCAAGTAATAAAAAACACAGTACAGAATAAAAGTTCTATTATAGAAACGAAATAAAAACTAAAACGAATTACGGAAATAATTATAAACAATAACGAATTAACGCGTCACGCATACAGTGAAAGTTGAAACAATACAAATAACGATTAACGAAATGTCAATCATAGCACCCATCCTTTCGGCTCAATACGTCATACATCGGGTGCTCTCGGTGACCTTCGGCCGCTTCGTGCGGCGCGCGAGAACCGACTCGTTACTCGGTACATTTCTATGAACTATCTTTTGTCTCACGCGCCAGGCGTATTAATGCGTGTCTCATACAAGATGTATTAGCAGTCCTCGTGCACTCGCCGGAGCGCACGATATGAGTTTAGTAAAGCGCTCAAACTTTTTGACCATAATTGGAAATTAAATTTTTTATACCTTTTTGTATGTTTAAAAAATAAATATTAAAATGGTAATTTAAAAATTAAGATGACATAATATTTTGTAATTTTTAAATATTTTGAATTGGTGGTTCAGCGCACGGGCGCACTTAAGGTACAGCCGCCACTGACAAGTAGTTTGTTTTGTGAATATAGGTTAAATGAAGTAGGAACCTTCTGAATTTATGTCATTAATTTATTCGGATTCTACTTCATTACGTTAAAGTCGCATAAAAGGAATCTCTCTCAAATATAAACTCTAAAATGCAAGAGGCGTGGAGCCAGTCCATAAATTAGCCCTAGTAGGTTATTTTATCAGAAATTATTATTTGCCTAAAGATGTTATATAACATAATAGTTTAAATTAATTTTCAACAGAATTTCATGAATACGTTACAAGATTCGGAGTATACTTGTTACTTACATTAAGTTCTTATACAGACAAACTTATGATAATCACGAGCGCTCTATCAAAATTTAAATTAAATTTTAGATTGAATCCCAGCTTTGAAGTAAATTTAATAAATAACTTAACCTAAGGTAAGAAAACAATATTATGATTATTAATTCTATAATATTATTGAATAGCCTTGGGACTACATTCAAATGTATATTGGACAAGGAGGCAATTACACAGCTATTGTCATTTAAATAACGATTAGCATGAAGTCTGACATAATTTGAAGTATTACAGTCTTGATTTCTATTGAGAAAATGTTAAGTCATCCATAAATATTAATTATTTGAACGTTATTCACCTAAGATTCAGAAGACTTAAAGATAGAAAACATAAGTATCGAATGTAAAAGTTGTTAAAGTACTTACAACCATAAGATTCCACATTTTGGCAGCTTCGGCGACTGTTGTACAGACCGTTGAACATCCAGCCAGGAGTAGCAACTTTTGAGGGGGATTGTACAGCAAATTGTACATTACACTTGCGCCGAGTCCCGGTTCGCACTGGTAATCACACCTTTCATTAGCAAATCGTAGTCAAAAGTTTATTAAGTATATCAAAATGGGTAAAATATGGTATGATTTTAACAAATTGCTGAGAAGATTTTTCCTCGTGGAGTTACATTAAAAATGAATAGAAAATCAACATCGTGTTTTATGGGCGCAGTAGTGTTGAATTCAAAATACGTATATATATTTTAAACCTACAGCATTCGCTTATATCGTAAGGAAAGTAAAAATTTAGTTTCAAGTAGTGATAGGTTAACAATAAATATATACAAGTAAATACAAAAATATATTATTTTCAAATCCCAGGTTATGTTTTTATGTAAGTAGAAAAGGAACACCTTATTTCAACTCTTGATTTTGTTCGTTTAAGTTGTAATAATGATTTTACTGATGGTATCATATTATGATTAGTATAATATATTAAGTAAAAAATATAATTTGATATTAATTATCTCTTAATAAAGCAGATATTCATCATAATCATGAGATAATCGTGTAAGTATAGAAAACAATATTTTCAATATACACGTACTTGTAATACCCAAGCCATGGTTTCAAGGGTTTCTATAATATTGTATTTTATTTAGATTATGAAATAATTTACGATTTAATAATTGTAGAAAACTAATAATTTTACAAAACTATTCAGTTTTAAACAGTTAAGTTTTGACCTAGATAAATTGAAAGGTTTTCGAATTTTGCTCAAAATTGCACCAAAACGAACAATAGATCTTTATTAAAGAGTTTCCGCTCTGAATAAAAACAAAAATAGCTGTAATTTAAAACTTTAGATTTTAAGTTAATATTACTAAAGATTAATATATAGTTTATGTATTCGTTTCATATAAACACCAATAATTCTAGTTGAATAAATAACTTAAAGTGCATAAAAGGAAGAGCAATTTTTTTTTTTAAATTTGTAGGCTATGTTGCAACTCGTAGTTTCTTATTCCGTTATTCTAAAAAAGACACGCTTATTAATGCCACCTCTTGATACTTAAAGTAAAGTATAAATTAAATTTATTTAAAAATCTGATAATAACACTTATGTATTAGTTTTAAGGTATCGTTGTCAATCCTATTAAGGATGTGTGAACATTTAAGAGATATTTTATAACACCTTTATCCAATATAATGATTTATTTTTAATGCTTTCGGCACCTAAGCAAATCAGGCCAAGGTGCCATGGCAGTAATTATGAAAACAAAGAGAATTTTTTATAAAGTATTGACTTAATACTGGACAGTAAATACTGTATTGATTTTTATATTAAGTAGTTAAGGAATATTTAATACAAGCGAATTATTAAATTGACCACATTTAACAAAAACGAAGTCCCATTTCACTTAAGTTAGAAATTAATCCAAGTGTCAGGTTAATATATATAAATTGGAAAATCACTTCTGAATGAATCGAAAAATTTATCCGACAAATTTTTCTCCATGGACCATTCATAAATTTTCAATAATTGAATTGAGTGTCAGATTCACCCTCCCATCATCCTGAAATTGTAGTTTTATCATATTCAAAAATTTTGGAGATTTCACTTAATTTTCAATTTATTATGTCAAAGTTAATTTTACAATCTGATCACTGAGACAGAAAATTTTAAAGCATCTGTATTCTTTCATACACGTGTAGCTAAATTACCTTCGTGACGTCAGTAAACGTGTATCAAAAATCGGAATCCTTTACAAGAGAAATTTAGCTATAACGCTAACATTTGCCTTGACGTCATTACTCATATCCTTTATCAAGAAGAATCATCAATTTTAATGGATTATACTCGTCACTATGAACGAAGACGAGGCTATAAACATTACGTTGATTGAAGTTGTTATTGAGATTTACGTAGTAAAGCGGCGAATAGAAGATAGAATATAAATCTAATTCTGAAGACATTTGTTTTGTTTAGGTTTAGTATAATAATAGCATCGGTGCTTGTAAAGAAAAACAATACCCGTTTACTTGTGGGATTACTTTTTTATTTATTTTTCAAGGTCGTATATGTATTTTGTAAGGTACTTAAGTATTGTATAAATATTCAAGACCGTATTATTAAATAAAAAGATACTGTAAAATTTACAATAAATAATATTTCTTTAATAATATTTACCTTGCTATCGTTGCTATGAAGTAGCAACTTAAAACCAGATAGTAAATCTGATCTAGCGTTGACATCAGCAAGAGCTAATTCAGCAGCTGGCTTACATGCTTGCCCCCCTTGCCAGCCACCTTCTCCTTCCATCGGAAATATACCACCAATGTGCAGATCATTATCACGCTTTCCTTCACTATATCTACAAAATCCACTCAAAAGTAGCAGAAGTACCATATTGTAGCGGTTAACCCAATCACGCCTGACGCACACAATACACTTGGCAACAAAGAATAATTGCACTAGAGCATTCACTAATAACGATTTATAATCGCACAATGTACTAGTTCGAAATCCAAAATCACTCACAGCCGCTTTTAATTTGACCAGCGGACGCTTTGGAAAATTATAGTTCACGAGAGCTCGCGGGAATGCGGTATCGCGGAAATGTGATATCACATTTAGAAAATGTAGATATAGCCTAATAAGCGTGATTTTCCTTATAAAATGTTGTGTTGAGTGCGTGTTTAGGGCCGCGTGGTGGCTGACGGGCCCCGCCGACGGCTCGCGACCCCCGGCGCCCAGCAGGGTCATCGCTCGCGGCGGGGACATGCTGTCATTGTTCACCTTTCTCATTTTCCATCCTCTATCCTGCAACAAGAGACGTTAATAACTTTATACAATGCAGCATCATTAACACAAAGCTATTTGCAAGTGCACGCCTCCGTTACGTAGACACTTAGTATGTTAGAACTATTCATGGCTAGATGAATGGAATATCATATTCTATGAGTATCAGTTTTCATATCGTTTATAAAAGAGAAAATATAAAAGAAGATATATTTTTATATCTCTCGAATATATCCAATAACATGTAACCAATGGCGTATTTTCTTTAGATAATAATTGAAATACGAGTAGATATGACCTTTTTTCTAATAATTATGTCCTTTCAGTATCGTTTGGATACAGCCCTATATAATTATTGATCAAGTTTTAAGTTAACTTTTTTGTATATCTATAAAGTTTAAGTATAATTCCCTTCTAACTCAGTTATTATCTACGTTTACCAATAACGAGAAATTCTTGTTAGCAAGTCGTGGATTGTTAATGCGGTTCTTAGTAATAGATCACACGAGATAAGATCTTACTGTGTTGCAGCTTATCCATTGTAGTACTAAATACAAATACAAAATGATTTGTCTATAAACAAATAATTTATATGATGCATTCAAATTTTCAATTTAATATAATGTATTAAATATTTTATGAATCATATTCAAGTTGGTAATCATAAGTATAGACGATAAAAGTAATTGTTTTTACGAAACTAATAAATAATGAAAATATCTTATTTTCAAGAAAATTGCGTCACGTTTATCAAGTTACACGTGAGACAATACCTCTAACTTTATCCCGCAATATCCGATCCAAAACCGCATGTAGAATGTAGTATCAAAGGGAATTTGCGGGACAAAGAGCCGATAATCGCCTCTCCAGGGCGTCGCAGTAATGAAATGAACGGTTAATGATTCGTAGATTATTTTCCCCTAATACTTATCCGGGCTTTTGGCTTAGCATTAAATGAACATATTTCATTAATTTTTTATACTTTGGTTGAAGCTATAAGCTTCTGTATAATAACTTTTAATAAGCTGAAAAATAAGATTGTTAAAACTTTTAACTTCGTATCGGGCTATCTATTTTTTTAATTTTGGTTGATAAATAATCTAGAATACGATTTTTATACAATACAAATAAATAAATAATTTTGTGCTTAGCACATAATACATCTTTTTTATTTATTATATAATAGAACTCAAAATGTTATGGGTCTTTACGATATTGTAATACTCTTATATTATGCATACAATTTTTCATCAAATATTTTGTATGCTTATAAAGAGAAAACGTATACCGTAATTCCCCTATGACCTGTGACTTCCAGGATATCGCGTTCCAGATACTTTGCTTGTGAAGCGTTTGAGCTCTCCCTGAAGACAATGAATTAAGCATATATGCATGTATTGCAAACATCTTTTCATGTAAATAAGTTTAATATTCTTTAAATTCAACAAAACACATTTCTAGAATAAGTTCCTATTGCTAGACTATCATAACCAAAATATTATAATTCATTTCCTTAGTTATTGATTTATACGTACGTTTGAATTTTGGGTATTCATTTATATAAAACCTAAAATAAGATAATATAGAATAATTTTATTGGCTTCAATATAATAATTAATCTTCAGAGAAATAGTACAAATTGTGAATAAATTGTAACCATATGCAATTTTTTTACCGTCAAACTTCTAAAACGATTGCTTGTGTATCTTATTTTTTCCTTATTTCAAGCACTTCAAAGTATATATATATATACACATATATATTTGTTTCCGTTTAACAACGCTTGTTGTCTTCATACTATTTCTAATAGTGCAAAGTATATGTGGGATCAAGAATTAGTGATACAAACATCTTTATAAGTTTAAATTGTCAATTTAAATAAACTTCTCCTAGCTAACCATACAAACTTAATTGAAAGTTTGAACATAAAGCAGCCGACAAAAATTTTAAAAACAAAAGAATTCTAGGAATTAGCTATTATCAAGAACGGGTGTCTGAAAAACTATTATGAAAACTTCCGCAAGAGCTGCTTGGGGAGAAAATTTATTAGGAGGTGGGGAGAGGGAAACTGTTCAAGCGTGGTTAGACCATAATTTAAGTCAGCCAAGGAAAGAAAACAGCTTACCCTTTCCTTTGGGACTATTGACTAGATTTCAGAATGCTCGAACGATCTTTATTCCGGACAATTTAAATTTATTCTGATGTTCTGACTCTTTTTGTCATCATCATCAATCGAGGAATGGAAGAATACCACAATGCCAGTAGAATAGCTCAAAACTATATTCTTTTCTAATAAAAAACGTTACTGATAATGGATGCTTAAATTAATTCAATCAATGAAATCCTACAATATTTAATTATTCACAATTGTTTCGTGTAATCGACATACATATGTGTTAAACACCCAAACTGTAAAAAATACTTCCGAAGTTGTAATATACAACACTTAATTATAGAAACTATTAAGTTTAATTTCTATATCTATATAAAAGCAATTAGAAAGTTCTATGCAAATTGAAAGCGTCCCATTATCTTAATATCGCTACCCATTTGCGACTTCTCCGCCAGAGGTCATGATTTATGATCCTTTGTTAAAGAAGTTTACATATTTGTCTCAAGCTAGAATAGAATTCCTTGCAACTATCTATGTCATAATAATATTTTATTGAATGATGTAGATATATTATTAGTTATGCTAACTTACTTAAACTTAACATAACAAATTTAAATACTTCTAATAATAATTAAGATGATTTACATTCTAATCGCTTTCAATTCAAACTTATTTAATATTTTTTTTATATAAAAAGAGTTTTTGTGATTTTTGTAACATTAAAAACAATAAAAATTATTAAGGTTTCCTTTTAAATTAAGGTTAATAAAATCTTTTATAAAGACAATATAAAAGCTAAACTTTTTATATACAATATTGTGAAGTATGTCAAATGGACGTAAGAGGAGCTTCTAATTTATTTTCTATTATTTCTCTAACTATCAAGGACTCTCGCTTTACTATTATCTATTGACTTTGTCTCTCGTTTGTTGTTTTTAGCTTTTATTTTTATTTAAAGGCCTACTTAGTTACTTGTGGTATTCATCATTTTCTGAAGAATTATGTCTTGTGTCATGAATAAGTTTATATCTTTTAGAAATACACTAGGGTTGTCAAAAATATAAAAATAAGTGAATTCCTTATCAAATTATGTTAATCACTTGTATTTTATTTGAAAAATTCTTTCGCAAATTAAATTTCACGTTTATTGTCACTTCTATCACTGTTCAATTTTCGAACATCAAGAGTGGGATGAATGTGAAAATAAATTTGTTCCCTTTGAGGCAATTTTTCAAGGTGGGTCAATAGGTTTCAATTTTCTATGATAAAAGCGTTAGAAATTATGATCAGTTATCAGGAAGCCTGTCACAGAAACAGTTGTTGCCATTCTTATTGCTTTTCTACTTTATCCTGTGAGTGCAAAAATATGGTTCCTTTGCTTCTATGAATATAAGTAAAATTTGTTAAAAAATATTATTTGTTATTTCAAAGTATTGAATAAATAACATTCCAAAGAACTCTATAAAAATTCTGATTGACATAAACATTGAATATTTTGAACCAAGCTTATGTATTTGCCCTACAATTTAAAAGAAAATTAATGATATGTAAATTATACGTATAATTGTTCTCTAATCTATTGCCATAGTAAACGGTATCGATAGATAAAAAATCATATAAAAAATGAACTGGAGCACCTTTCAAAGCTCTCGAGTGAAGGACTAATGCAATAAGTCCGACTATAAAGGCAATTTTCATGGAAATAACACAAAGGCAGTTTAGCTCTTTACGTAATGGATTTATATTTACTTTTATTGTCCTGCTATTAAATTCATGTTTGTTTTTTGTAATCTGTAATATGTGGAAAAGTTTCTATATTTGTCATATAATAATTATTGTACTTTAAGAAATTTATGTTCAAAATATGAACAGACACTTTTGTGTTTATTACCGTTCTTCTTGAAACGCTTCGTCTATTTGCGACACTCTTGCTTGTGTTATTATTTATGCGTAAAGTAGGATCGTATATTATGCCAAGATGAGGATGAAGACTTCTTGAATAATGAACACGTAAGTGAAAGTTGTGTCCTGAAGTATATTTGTACATATTATGTTGTCATATGTGATGGTATGAACACCATGTTTTTAATTATTATTTACCAGACAAAATGATTACAGCCACAAGGGCATTCAGGAAGTTTTATTACTCTATTTTATGTTTGCTTCTATGATAGGAATAAAATCGTATGGATAGATTTTGTTTTATACTGAAAACGTATATATTTGTACAATAACACGTTTCCTGTTACCGTTCTTATTGCGGAAGGAAAGGTACTTGAACCCGCTCGTTACTTACGGAGATTATGTATTATATTATATTTATTTATTTATTTTATTTATTTATTACAATTATGTTGGTATTTTTTACATTTATATCTAAATTTTCAGTGTCTCATAGACCAATATTGGTTTTTCCGTACACTGGTTTTTATTGGTTTTTATAAAATTGTATTATCGATAAGATTATTTTTAAAATTTTCAGTTATTAAATATGTGTAAATGTAAATATATATTGAAATAAAAAAGCTTTAAAACTATTTAAATTTATTAGATTCAATCATATGCAACGAACTAAAGTTGTTTTCGTAAAAAGTATTCATTTGAACGTCGCCTTAATACAGTTTTTGTACAAAAATATTCGGTTTGAACACCAAAAAGATATAAAATTATGGTTAATAACTTATAATCCGGAAGCGGTGAAGCTCAGCACTTCGGCAACACCTGAGGGCATGCCTCTACGATACAGCGTGAAAATGGTCTGATGTAATTTAGCACTGTGAATATTGATATTGGCCCCAAACACCGAAAGCGCCAAAGAAAATTTTGCTCATAATCTATAGAGATTACGGCTTTTGATATTTTAGATTTAAAAATTCTCTTTTTATTCGTTTTT